AGAGAAGAGAAGAGAAGAGAAGAGAAGAGAAGAGAAGAGAAGAGAAGAGAAGAGAAGTCTGCTGGCTACCAGAAACATAAAGTAACTTCATTCAGACCTTGAATTCTAATCAGAACTTCAATATATAAACATTTAGAATTTTTCTACTTTGAATTTGCCTTTTTTTTTTCCCCCTTGCAAATGGGCAAAATTAAAGCAGAGCAATTTTTCAGCATAGCATTAATTTCAACCATACAAAGATAAGGTGAGAAAAGTTCAATGATCCCCAAACCATATTAAAATTTACAGAAGGGATGTGGTGGGGGTGGGGGGACAAGTAAGGATATATTATGTTTTGTCTAGGGACCATTATTTTTTTTCTGTCTTTTATAGATGTGCATTTGATCAAGTATAATTACCACAAAGATCATCTTCATCAGATCCATCAGGGCAATCTCTTATCCCATTGCAGAGCTTTTCAGGCTGCAGACAGATGGAAGTGTCATTAGCACATGGATATTTTGGTGGCCCACACATATAGCCTTCACAATTATCTTCATCAGACTGATCCTCACAATCAATGTCTCCATCACACAGCCAAGCTTTGCTAATGCATCTCCCTTGAAGAAAAGAGAAAATAAACGCACTGATTCCTTTTCTTAGCAAGGCTAATTATTCTTTCATATTTTATCTTTAATGCCACCATTTTATATAAAAAGAACTTCAAGCAGTGGCCTATAATTTTTTCTATCCCCACTTCAAACTCACCATCGATCTCTTTTAAAAATGAAGCAACATTAGCCATTTCTCAATCCCTTATTTCAGAGAGAAGATGCATATTTTGGAAACAGCTATACGGAACTGTAAAAAAATATTTTATATCTGAATCTTTTGAAAGTTCTGTGGAATTTTTATTTTCAGTATAGAGAACTGCTCTTTCTTTGGGGAAAATAAAAATTAAAATAAATTATTTATTTCTTCCTTTATGTATGGATGCTGTATAATGTGACAGGACAGCTAAACCTAATAATTTTGATTTCTTTCTTTTTAAAAAAAAAAAAATATCTTTATAGCCATTTTATGGGGAAATTTATGGACTTTGGTAAATACTTATAAAAAAAGAAGAAAAAATATTTTTCATCTGAACCAACAAATTGAAGAGGCATAACTATTTTCGACATTGAGAAGAACATATACCAGAGAACTCAGTTAATTGACATATACTGCATTTGATCTAATTATGAGATTCTAGTTTGAGGATGGGTCATAATCGATTTTTGGTTCTAGAACGAGCTAGTGAAGGAAAAGAAAGCAGTTCTGAATGGTGGATTACTGATCTATTATAAACTCTTTCTCAGAACCTTGTTTCAGATGTTCTTACTCAAAGATATGTTCAAATTGTCCTCTATGCAGCTGAGTATTTTTTTTTTCTTTTTACTTTATTCCAAGTACTAAATTAAGAGCAAGAGAGGTAAAGGGTGGGAGGTATATTTCTATTAATTTACTAATGACTATCAACTTTGTAAAAGTACCATCAAAGCATTGTGCAATATTGGTATGCTAAGTAACACACACTATTTATGCACCACTGATTCCACAAGGACTCCCAATGCTTTGAAACACCTTTAGAGACAAAGAGCCTCATAAAACAGCTAAAACTGTCAGTCACCAATCCACCCTGGCATCAACATCACAGAGACAATTTTGCAAATTAAAGGCTCTGTTGAAAGAGATGTCAGTCTACCAATGTCATTCAAGTGGATTATGTAATTATGTTTCTGATCATATACTGGAGCAGGGAAGGAAGGAACATGCCTGCTCTTAAAAGTTATTCCTTTTGTATTCATAGAGATGTCTGAAATCTGCTGGTGGCTTGTTGACAGGACTTTGAAATGAACCAAAAAAAGTGTCTGTTTTCCACCAAGTAAACCCAAGGCCTTGGACAAAGGTTTGACAAAGATTTTGTGTCAAATGTCAATTGATGGTTAGCGTGGTAGCTATATTATATTTCAATATGTTTGATAGCTACATGTGGGGAATCATAATCCTCCGCCTCCTCCTCTTCCTCTTCCTCCTCATCTTATTACAGGTTTGCAGACACCATAGAAATATATTTATTAAGGAATATTATATTGTATTAAGATTTATTTATAGCTGTATAAACTGAACAATAAATGTGTATGTGCTAATATAATCAATTTCCATACTTATTAAGTGACATGCATTTATTAAGCTCATTTTTCTTACAGAGTATATCCAACATGAATCATGATAGCACTTCAGTTATTGAGTTGCCAAGTTGTTGGGGTTCAGAATGTCCCAAACATAATGAAAATAAACCCAACAACATAAATATTATCTTCACCTTAGATAATGACCAATTGATCTAGAAGTTCTGTTTCACTACTGACATTTCCCAACACAGTCCCAACATGGTTTCTATTGTCTCAATATAACAATCTATTTCTAGGGATTAATTTTAATTAATTTGTTTCTTTACGATCGGTAATTAAATAAATTACATTGTTCTAGAATGGTAAGCTTAATATAATAAAATTAAAACTCTGATGGCATCTATATTACTCTGCAATGACAGTTAAGCAAAATTTTGCAACTCTCTAGAAAACACCCATTCACTTATCAGCTAAAAGGAGTAGGATAAAGTCTTCTTTTGAACTCCCATGGCAGTTGGTTAATAGAAGTATAATTAAGGCATATGCCAAATAAAAGAGGCATTGAAGAAGGACAACTGATACAACTTCTTTCAGCACGTAGGGCCAGAGATTGAAAAAGCTGCATAGAATCTGCCTTTTAAAACTGATGAAAGTAATATATCGGACCAAGCTAAAGTAAGAGTTCTCCTATCTGTTGGGCAAAGGATGTTGACAAGATAGGAAGCCCCTCAAGGAAGTTTCCTAAATAAGCCTAAGCCATACAAGTTTGGACTAGAGCTTAATTCTTTCCATAAGTCTACAGCATGTCAAAAACCAGCTATTTCAACTATGACAGGGCTGTTTCAAAGCTAAATTAAGAAAGGCCACAGGATTTTATTTTTAGGGAAGTTTCTTTCCCTTTGAAATTCCTTGTAGTTATACATACATCTTGCTAAATTTCAGAACAGCCTATGGAGAGAAGGGGTACAGAGAGGGAAAATGTAAGTGTCCTCCCACCCCAGCACTCTTTTACTTCTGATCACTGCTTTTCTGAAAATAGTGCTGCAATGTAAACAATAAAATAGTGTTTTAACTTCGCATAAACTGTTACCCTTTAATACCTGTGGCCTTGCAGGAAAACTTTGTTTTGTCATCACATGGTCGTATAGTTCCGTTACAACTCTTTTCATCACTGCCATCTTCACAGTCCTTTTCTCCATCACAGCGCCAGAGTTCAGGAATGCAGTTTCTATCTGGGTAGCACTGAAATTCTTTCCCATTGCATCTCCCAAGAGAGGCTATAACTAACATTAAAATATATATATATATATATATATATTGATAATATAGAACTAGTTATATTTTTTTAAAATAATTCATATCCTTTCCAACACACTTCAATTACTCACTCCTTCCAGTCAAGGAAGTGCTATTCAGAATTATATTCTTCTTATAAAGAACCACATTTTGATTATACAGTATAGAGAAGAATCATACTGTACTTAAGCAGAACCATATTTTGATTATACAGATACAATTACACATTAACATACAAGGAGGTAAGTATGGTTATTATCTTTCCACAGAACAGACTATGAACATTGCCGCTTTCGTCCTAAGCAGCTTCCCAGTAACTGATACTTTCCCATTAACCTCATATATGACCATTGTATTCAATCATGTGAATGGAGCCAATACATCCTTCAAAGCAGCAGGTTACAGTTGGATTATGTTGGAGAAAAGTACATACTTGTCAGTTACAATGGATAAGTTTATTTTATATACTGTTCATAGGTTTGCACCAGTGTGAATTTCACTGGAGAAATATAATTGGAACTATTGAAGAAATACAGTGGATATATCCATTTCAACCATCTGAACTATCAAATTGTTATTTGACCAAAGGGACATTCACAGGCTGACTGAACATTTCTATGGAATAAATGTAGAAGAATAGTTCCCCCCCCCCATGACAAAATAGCAGATAATAAAAGACAGAATCTCAGAGAAGAAGAAGAAGAAGAAGAAGAAGAAGAAGAAGAAGAAGAAGAAGCTGCTGTAC